GTTTTGCCATTCTTGTAGATATTGGTCCTTTAATTTTTGTACAAAGGAATTTATGAAATAGTCTTCATTATTGACTGTTTGATTATACCAAATGTAGCCAAAACCATTTTTACATAATAAATTACGAATACCAGTACACCAATTAGTTTGCCCCGTACTATCCAAAAAACAACTGCATATTATAGCATTTTTAACTAATCTGTGTTCACCCATTTTGAGTATTTTACACCGATATCTTACAGCTCTTTTAGCAGAATTTATAAACATAGGAAATCTCCCACAGTCACCTAGGACACCTGCATTAATTGTTTTTTTCTTTCACACATAAATATCTTTTACATGCATAGTTATGCACTAACTCTGGCTGTACTAACTTCTGTATACCCCACATTTCTGATCCATAAAGTAAAATAGGACTAGTTTTTGTGTGAAAAATATTAAAAAATACTTTTGGGGGTAACTGTCCGTAGTCCTATAATTGCGAAAGTATAGAAATAAGTACTCTTTTTGCTTTAAACGCTTGTTCACTAGCCATTCTGTTTAAGGACAACTGTTGTGTTAATGTTACACCTACATAACTAAAATTGCTTACAACTTCAAGAATTTGATTATCATAAAACCATTTCTCGCCTTTCGCTAATTTCCCACCATTCTTAAAAACCATTACTTTTGATTTTACAGGATTAACTTTTACATTTTTTTCATCACAGAAATTTTTTACCAAATTTAATAACTTCTGAAGGCTAACAACAGTATCTGCAGCTAAGGCCAAATCATCTGCAAATAATAAAGATGATAACTCAGTTGTATCTTGGAACAGCTGGATACCTCTGATTCCACTTTTTCCAATTCGTTTAATTAATTCATCAATAAAAACTAAAAATAGAATTGACGAAGCCATGCAACCTTGTTTTAGACCTATGGGACAGCTGAAATATTCAGTAAGCCCTTCATCAGTTCTAACACGAGCTTGCACTGACCTATACATACCAAATATTGCATTATATAATTAACGTTTTACACCGCTTTGTTTTAAAGTTTGCCAAATATTTTGTCTATTAATCAAAACAAAACATTTCAAAAAATCAATAAATGCTACATAAAGTTTACGACCTGGCTTTGATAACTGTTTGTCAATAAATGTTTGAAGTACATAAACATTATCAATTGTCGAGTCACCTTCTCGAAATCCAGCTTGGAGTTCACTAATTTTATTAAAGATATGAATATTAAAAGTTAGTCTCCGTGTCAAAATACTAGTATAAATCTCGCTAAATATATTTAAAAGAGAAATACCTCTATAATTATCAGTGGAATTTATATTTCCTTTTTTAGCTCGACTTTTTTTTTTTTTTTTTTTTGAAAAAAAAGTAGAGGTATTGTTATAGTCGGGTCGGCGTTGCCGTTGCCGTTGCCGTCCGCAAACTTGTACCTGGATCATAACTTTTTTATTTCTTGGTGTATTGTCTTCATACTTGGCCACAACAACCCTTGGGACAAGACCTTTCAGTAGACCACACTAACCTTGACCTTCATCCATAAATGACCTTGACCTTCAAGGTTAAAAGTCCAATTTTTGCTTGTTCATGCTGTTATTGGCTGTAACTTTGTTATTTTTGAATGGATTGTCTTCAAACTTAAACATAATAATCTTCAAGGATATCCCTTAAAAATAACCCGCCAGACCTTGACCTTCACTCATAAATGACCTTGACTTTGAAGGTCAAATTATTGAAATTTTCATTTTTTTGGCTATTATTGGCTGTAACTTTGTTATTTTTGAATGGATTGTCTTCAAACTTAAACATAATTATCTTCAGGGATATCCCTTAAAAATAACTAGACAGACCTTGACCTTCACTCATAAATGACCTTGACTTTGAAGGTCAAATTATTGAAATTTTCATTTTTTTGGCTATTATTGGCTGTAACTTTGTTATTTTTGAATGGATTGTCTTGAAACTTGAACATAATAATCTTCAAAGATAACTGTTAAAAATATACCGAAAGACCTTGACCTTCACTCATTAATGACATTGTCTTTGAAGGTCAAATTATTGAAATTTTCATTGTTTTGGCGGTAACTGACTGTAACTTTGCTATTATTGAAGGGATCAACTTCATATTATAACAGAACATTCTTAAGGACCAGACCTTGTTGTTTATCAAACCCAAATTTGCTTGGGCTCTTTAATGACCTTGACCTTGAAGGTTAAATTACTGAATTTTCTCAGATTTGTGCATTAAATGACCATAATTATATATTTATTGGTGTGTGTGTGTGTATATATATATTTACAACAACAACAACAAGAATTGCGTAATGTTTCTATTTATAGAATTGCGTCATTGTTTCTATTTATAGAAATTGCGTCATTGTTTCTATTTTTAGAAATTGCGTCATTGTTGCTATTTTTAGAAATTGCGTCATTGTTGCTATTTTTAGAAATTGCGTCATTGTTTCTATTTATAGAAATTGCGTCATTGTTGCTATTTTTAGAAATTGCGTCATTGTTTCTATTTTTAGAAATTGCGTCATTGTTGCTATTTTTAGAAATTGCGTCATTGTTTCTATTTTTAGAAATTGCGTCATTGTTTCTATTTATAGAAATTGCGTCATGTTGTTATTTTTAGAAATTGCGTCATGTTGCTATTTTTAGAAATTGCGTCATTGTTTCTTTTTTTTAAGAAATTGCGTCATTGTTTCTTTTTTTAGAAATTGCGTCATTGTTGCTATTTTTAGAAATTGCGTCATTGTTTCTATTTTTAGAAATTGCGTTATTGTTTCTATTTTTAGAAATTGCGTCATTGTTGCTATTTATAGAAATTGCATCATTGTTTCTATTTTTAGAAATTGCGTCATGGTTCTATTTTTAGAAATTGCGTCATTGTTTCATGTTGCTATTTTTAGAAATTGCGTCATGTTGCTATTTTTAGAAATTGCGTCATGTTGCTATTTTTAGAAATTGCGTAATGTTTCTATTCATATATATATACAAAATATATAAACAAAACTAATGTGACAAGACAGACCAACTAAATTTATAAAAAGGAAACGTTAAGATATGTTCAAACCTTTCTATGTTTGCGTTCAGAAAAAGTAAAAAGTCGAGCGTTGCCCCCGCCCGGCGGTGGCTCTTGTTATGTATAGTAACAATAATTGCCTTACTCCATGATTCCGGAAAATCACCATTATTGTATAATCTATTAAATATCTTATTAACTAAAGGAATCAATAAATCAATACCGTTAATAAAAAATTCTGGAATAATATCATCTTCACCCCCCGAAGTTCCTCTTTTAAGGTTTTTTACAGCCCTTAAGATTTCTTCGTCTGTAATTTCCGATATAAAAATTGAAAACTCTATATCATTATCTATATGCTCTGGTAAAATTGAATCAATCTCTTCAAAATTTTCATAGTTAATAACATAAAATAAAGACTCAAAATGAGTTTTCCATTCGTTTAAAGTAATTGAGTTTGAACCATGTGCTTTCTTATTACACATGCCTTTAAGTTTATGCCAGAATGATTTTGTACTATTTGACGAATCTATAAGCTCGTCTTATTGTTTATTGTAAAATTCTTTTTGTTTAAAATTACACGTCTGTTTAAATGTGTTTTTAGCCGATAAATAATTATTCAAATTTTCTTCCGATCTATTTCTCCTAAACATACGAAGTCTGCTATTTTTTAAATACTTTAAAGATTTGCATTCTTTATCAAACCATTTTGGCTGTGTGTTATGATTAATTTTTGACCTTTTTAAACAACATTTGCCGCTGTATTAAAGTACATCATTAAATTTAGATATTATTTCAGATAATGGTTTCGAATTATCTACTATTTCTACCATATATTGATTTATAAAATCTGGCGATAAAATCTTTGCCAATTTTTCACGAAATGTAGTTATATTGGTGTCTGTAAAAATATACCTGTTTCTTTTGGTATGTTTATTAAAAACTTTATTTACTATAGCCCTGTCGATATTTTAACATTCAATTTCAAAACTTAATGGCAATGCGATGACTCGGTTCTATGTTCAATATTAAAATCAGTTATGAATTCTAAAATTCTATCCGAAAATAACAAATAATCAATTACACTGAAACCTTGGTGACTAACAAATGTAAAATTCCCTTTGTTTTGATCTCTACATAATCTTCCAATTGCAATTTTGAAATCTCAATTGTAGTTTATCCTCTCATGAATTTGGTGCTTGTAATTGTTATGTTTATATTTATTATAATGACTCGCCATACATATATCTATGTGATTATGTTGTATATATTATTCAATACATGTTAACAAGACGATGTACTTTGTATAAGTCTAGAAAATAAATGTCTGTTCTATTCTGTTCTGTTAAACATAAATTAATAAAAATAATATTACTTATCACTGTTGTACAAACAAATGTCCATTTCGCAGGCGGAAAGTTCATTTTGTTTCACAACAAACAATTGTCATGTTTTAATTGACACGATCCTTCTATAATGAGATCAATACGCACCGACATAAAAATTTTAGCACTTCTAATTTCTGTTAATCTGTCGTTAATTTTACATAAAAGAACTATTTAAAGACATAACAGTGACGGATAGATCGAAAGTAGGGACGAGTTGACCATATTAGGGACGAGTTGACTCTTTGAGGACGAGTTGACCAAAAGTAGGGGACGAGTTGACCAAAAAGGTGCAGAGTTGACCAGGGAACGAGTTGACCGGATTGCTCTATTACAACCCCCGGGAAACGGCGTTTAGCTAGGTTTTCGAGAACTGGTGTGAAAAGATGAAGTAGACCTATTAAAGTTCATTCCGTTGCGTTGGGTATGTTGGGTAAAAAGGCAAGATTTTAGCATTTTATGATTCAAGCGCCCTGCCCGGTATATACCGGAATACGGTATTTAGTGTAGGTGCTCCAATCCTTTCGTGAGACCCCAATCGTAACAACTCGGCAATCTCCGTCAAGTTGACACGCGAACCCGAGTTGTTCCGATTGGTGAGACCCCTGGCAAAGGGGGGGGACTACTCTACATAGCGTCCTTACTGGTACCCCAGAAGCACGCCTATACAAGAAATTAGTAAATAAATACTTTAGTAAAGTATCTATCTATCTTCCATTTACGTAGAGTATTATACATATATCGATATAGATCTAACAGCCTTTGAAAAATGCTTTAATAAAAAGCAGTATACAGTACAGTAAGTATTTCCTGTCACGTTGTAGTTTCACTTTCAACGTTCAAGTTCAACACTCGCATGTATCATGTACATGTACATAGGAATGTTCTTGCTTCGCCCATACAGTTTATCACAGACATGCATTCAATGCAAGTGCCTTTTTTCCTTCCTTTTTTCTGCTTCAAAGATAAATTCTTTAAAATCGTGCAATTTATTCTCATCAAGTTATTTCATGCCCTTTTACAAATATACCATCTGACCATGTAAATTCCCACCAAACTGAAGGGAAGGGCTGCTTCCCAAAAATGCCCTGACTGTATATTTAGTAGGTTGTGGATTTCTAATATTTATCATCGCAATGGTTTGTTAAGCACAAATGGGAGTTAAAGTCAAGAACATAGCACCAGAGACATAGACCCAATACAGAGATAAGCAGCTTGTATATACTCCATTGAAATATCTAGGAAGTGGCTAGCCGTACGGCTAGCCAAAAGTTCTAGCCGTACGTGAGTCATGTACGACTAGCCAGGACATACTGTATTGGCTAGCCGTACGGCACTTTTCAAAATTATATGGTAGTTGAAAATGCATATGTTATTTTATGACTTTAAGCGAGGATTTGTACAAGACACAGCAATTGTCTTCGTATGTTTACTTTTTAGAGATTAAGTGTCTTGTTTGTTGGCTACAGTAAAGAAAGTATACGAATACAGTATACTGTGCTCCTCTTAGTTCACGGTACTTAACACTTTAAAACAGTAAAGAACACACAAACAATAAACTTACACTACAAAAACTGTCATAAACTGTATCATTTAGTCATTTTTCTGCTATATGACACAAGTAAACAACAATATATTCAATCAAAATTAGTTTTAATTTGTCAGATGTAGACTGTGTGTCGGCCATTTTGAAAACAGTATGTCATCTCAAGACATCGAAAAAAAAATAGCGTTTGGTTGCTGTTTAATAACATCGATTGAAATAGTTTACAAAACTTTGATATTTTTTGTTTCATTTAGTTTAATTTTCAAATAAAAAAATATTAATAATAAAAAAAAAACGCCGAAAATAATTGTTGTTGGGCTCTGATAATTGCGTCAATTACCCACGGTATAGAAGTTTGTCAATCATTAAGGAAAGTTTACCTTAATTAAGGCTTATTAATTTATTGTGCTTAAATTATTTTGGCTTTTCACCGTTTTTTCAGTATTCTTTTTATTTCCTTATTTATTTATTTAATTATTTATTCCCCTCCGATCATTATTTATTCGATCCATGTGCCTAATTAACAAAAATGATTTAACAATTCATCTTTCATACAAATAAAATAACAAATCATAAGCATGAAAATCAACGACGTTATAACTTATAACATACAACTTTGACACTTTTATCAAAATAGATTATACAACGCTTGTTCGTATTCATTTTTTTTACAAAATGGCGGAGCATCTTTATTAAAGTGAACACACTAGGACAAATGCGGAGACTTGATTAAAATCCTGGTTTTAAGACACATAATAACATATAAATTTTCGACTTCCATATAATTTTGAAAAGTGCCGTACGGCTAACAAATACAGTGTGTCCTGGCTAGTCGTACGTGACTCACGTACGGTTAGAACTTCCAAATATCTATCATGCCTATCAAAAAGTGAAAAATTTGGCATTTTGTAGCAAATAAATGGATGGCCATCTGGTTGTCCATCCTTATTAAGCTTGTCCGGCCTTCACAGGTCAAACTATTGGTGGGATTTCAATCAAACTCTACAGGAATGATCAGTACCATCCCTACTTGTGCATGTCACTAGCACGTTCCGCTTCACTGGACAAAATGGCCACCAGAGCTAAAAATAGAAAAATCTTCTCCAGCTTTCACAGGTAAAACTACTGGTGGGATTTCAACCAAACTTTACAGGAGTGATCAGTACCATCCCTTGTTTTGCACATAGCTGGCACATTCCACTGCGCTGCACAAAATGGCCACCAGTACTTAAAATAAAAAAAATTTGTTCGGCCTTCACAGGTCAAATACTGGTGGGATTTCAACCAAAATTTACAGGATTGACCATACATAGTTTTGGGAGACATATGAGCCGTGTCATGACAAAACCAACATAGTGCGTTTGTGACCAGCATGGATCCAGACCAGCCTGCACATCTGCGCAGTCTGATCAGGATCCATGCTGTTTGCTATCAGTTTCTCTACTTGTAATAGGGTAAGTAAGCAAACAGCATGGATCCTGATCAGACTGCGGGGATGCGCAGGCTGGTCTGGATCCATGCTGGTAGCAAACCTGTTTTTGTGACAAAAACCCTTCTAGTAACATTTGTTTTTTGGGTTGAGTAAAGTTTAAGATTGACTTTATTTGTTTTGTTTATTTAGCACATGATGGCAAGTAATTCATCTCTAGAGCTACAAGAAAACCCCCAATTTTTTAGACATGATTCCAAGTATGACTGTCTGGTATGTAAGGAAGTGCTCAAGGAGGCAATGCAGACAAGCTGTGGGCACAGGATTTGTGAAAGATGTATTTCCAAGTTGTTTGAAGGAAAGTCAGAACCAGTCATGTGTCCTGCGGATGAAGAAGATTGTGAGCCACAATACAGATCTAATGTATGTATATTGATATTGTATAAAAAATCTTTCATTAGCTTACCTCAGCACATAGTGTTCACGTTGACTTTTTATAATTTGTCCATCATAGATTTCTGTCCATTTATCTCTTGTGAATCATTCATTAAAATGACATTTATCTGTAACATTGCGCCAAATGGTAAAAAAATCCTCTTGTAATGCCTTGTAATAAGTTCTTACACAGTATTTTAACTGGAACCAATTTATTGCATAATTGAGTTACTGCTGGTAACAAAAGTTTGAATATAAATTTGATTAAAATCATAAAATTAGCTTTAATATAAATGTACACCTTCATGTAAAAAAACCCAGTTTATAAGAAGATTTGAGGTTTATAGTTAGATCAGCTGTAATATCTTTAAAATTGCCAAGTGGATATGTATAAAGAAATTTAAATTACGATATAAGTTTATATAACAGAACATTTGCCGTACCTGAGGTGTTTCTTAGAATGCTGAAATAGACTTTTATCCTGTATCAGAGAGCCTATTAGATATAAAATAACCAATAAAGTATATATTTAAATCAATGATATAGAGACACTTAATATCAAAATCAATTTTATATGAAAGACATTTAGGTCAAGGTCAGCAAGGCTAATGTAGACTTTTTCTATATATATCTCCGAAAAAAACAGTTTTTAAACTAAAACAATAGAAATTGAATGATTAATGAGAAAGAAATGTAAAGCAGGAAGGTAATGAATTATTAATGAGAAAGAAATGTAAAGCAGGAAGGTAATGAATTATTAATGAGAAAGAAATGTAAATCAGGAAGGTAATGAATTATTAATAAGAAAGAAATGTAAAGCATGAAGGTAATGAATTATTAATGAGCAGGAAGGTAATGAATTATAATTGAGAAAGAAATGTAAAGCAGGAAGGTAATGAATTATAAATGAGAAAGAAATGTAAAGCAGGAATGTAATGAATTATTAATGAGAAAGAAATGTAAAGCAGGAAGGTAATGAATTATTAATGAGAAAGAAATGTAAAGCAGGAAGGTAATGAATTATAAATGAGAAAGAAATGTAAATCAGGAAGGTAATGAATTATTAATAAGAAAGAAATGTAAAGCATGAAGGTAATGAATTATTAATGAGCAGGAAGGTAATGAATTATAAATGAGAAAGAAATGTAAAGCAGGAAGGAAATGAATTATTAATGAGAAAGAAATGTAAAGCAGGAAGGTAATGAATTATAAATGAGAAAGAAATGTAAAGCATGAAGGTAATGAATTATTAATGAGCAGGAAGGTAATGAATTATAAATGAGAAAGAAATGTAAAGCAGGAAGGTAATGAATTATTAATGAGAAAGAAATGTAAAGCAGGAAGGTAATGCATTATTAATGAGAAAGAAATGCAAAGCAGGAAGGTAATGAATCATCAATGAGAAAGAAATGTAAAGCAGGAAGGTAATGAATTATAAATGAGAAAGAAATGTAAAGCAGGAAGGTAATGAATTATAAATGAGAAAGAAATGTAAAGCAGGAAGGTAATGAATTATTAATGAGAAAGAAATGTAAAGCAGGAAGGTAATGAATTATAAATGAGAAAGAAATGTAAAGCAGGAAGGTAATGAATTATTAATGAGAAAGAAATGTAAAGCAGGAAGGTAATGAATTATTAATGAGAAAGAAATGTAAATCAGGAAAGTAATGAATTATTAATAAGAAAGAAATGTAAAGCATGAAGGTAATGAATTATTAATGAGCAGGAAGGTAATGAATTATAAATGAGAAAGAAATGTAAAACAGGAAGGTAATGAATTATAAATGAGAAAGAAATGTAAAGCAGAAAGGTAATGAATTATTAATGAGAAAGAAATGTAAAGCAGGAAGGTAATTAATTATTAATGAGAAAGAAATGTAAAGCAGGAAGGTAATGAATTATTAATAAACAGGAAGGTAATGAATTATTAATGAGAAAGAAATGAAAGCAGGAAGGTAATGAATTATTAATGAGAAAGAAATGTAAAGCAGGAAGGTAATGAACTATTAATGAGAAAGAAATGTAAAGCAGGAAGGTAATGAATTATTAATGAGCAGGAAGGTAATGAATTATTAATGAGAAAGAAATAAAAAGCAGGAAGGTAATGAATTATTAATGAGAAAGAAATGTAAAGCAGGAAGGTAATGAATTATTATTGAGAAAGAAATGTAAAGCAGGAAGGTAATGAATTATTAATGAGAAAGAAATGTAAAGCAGGAAGGTAATGAATTATTAATGAGCAGGAAGGTAATGAATTATTAATGAGAAAGAAATGAAAAGCAGGAAGGTAATGAATTATTAATGAGAAAGAAATGTAAAGCAGGAAGGTAATGAATTATTAATGAGAAAGAAATGTAAAGCAGGAAGGTAATGAATTATTAATGAGAAAGGAATGTAAAGCAGGCAGGTAATGAATTATAAATGAGAAAAGAAATGTAAAGCAGGAAGGTAGTGAATGATTTATGAGAAAGAAATGTAAAGCAGGAAGGTAATGAATTATAAATGAGAAAGAAATGTAAAGCAGGAAGGTAATGAATTATAAATGAGAAAGAAATGTAAAGCAGGAAGGTAATGAATTATTAATGAGCAGGAAGGTAATGAATTATTAATGAGAAAGAAATGTAAAGCTGGAAGGTAGTGAATGATTTATGAGAAAGAAATGTAAAGCAGGAAGGTAATGAATAATAAATGAGAAAGAAATGTAAAGCAGGAAGGTAATGAATTATAAATGAGAAAGAAATGTAAAGCAGGAAGGTAATGAATTATTAATGAGAAAGAAATGTAAAGCAGGTAAATACTTGCACAGGTTGGTCAATGAAATTCGATAATCTGTATGTTGAGAGTTCTAAATTAGTTTTTTCTTTTGATTGAAGCACTATTTATTTTATTTATTATTTATAGATCTATATATTAAAAAATCTTACCAGATGATAAATTTCAGAAAAAAAAGTTTGAGATAAGCAATGGGTTTGTCAAATTTTCCAAAGACACCCCAAGACGACCTTAAAACAATTATTTATGAGATAAAGAAAATTGGTTTAAAGGTTGTTTAAAGATGTCTTCTTGATAGACAACTTTATACTTTTACATTTTTCTTGTTCAGTGATAATCTTAAGGGAGTACATTTATCTATGCAAATAAATTACGAGAGAAGTAAATTGGTATTATCTCCCTGATGTTAATTGATAAGGCGTAATAAAAAAAGTTGTTTGTTTCAGGTGTCCCGACCGACCCTATTTTTTGGCTGCCAACCCTAAACATTTTTAGCCGAAACAAGCTGCATTTTTGTTTGACTCAGAGATCAGGTTTTTAGACAATTTGGGCGAAATAATGCCCATTTTGCTTAGAAAGCCTAAAACAAAGTTGCCCTCATTTCCGCAAACACCTGCGATATTCCCAAATGACAAAATCATATACGCTTCGCATATTTGACAGTCCGTAAAACCTTTTTTCATTGGTCGATAAAATTGGAAAACCAATGAAACGTGGCAATGCAATTCAGCAGATGTTGGAAGTTAACGGGTGACATCTTCAAATGTTGATAAACAGAGATAAAATGCCGATTGAAAAAATAAAGAGCAAAAATAACAATATACTAGTGGAGATAGGACAAATTAGACTTTGCTCATAAATTTGTCGGTAAGTCTAGTTATCATGTTCATATTATGTCGTTTTCCAAAAGTGTGTCGCCAAAAGTTTTAGTCACGTGTTGTAATGTTTACATTTTTCATGTCAAATGCCGAAATAGACAAATATAGTGGTGAAATACTCAATGTTTATTCTTTAGGCTCAGTGTGAGAACTGTTGTATACAAAAGAAATTAAATTTTAATTGTGATGATTAGCTTATTATTGGGAGGAGGCGATATGCTTGACTATTAATTAAAGCGTAAAAGCAAAGTATTGTAACTTAAAGTGGTTGTATTTTGATATTATTAGGGGAAAATATTTTTACAGTTAAACTCTAAATAAAAAAAAATCAGCATTAACTTAATTAAGTTATTAACCAGGACTCAATACTGAAACTAGTTCTTGAGAAAACTTTGAAAATGATGAATTAATTGATAATGGAATTTAAATTATACCAGTGATTTATTTTATTTCAGCACATGTCACCTGGATCACAAGCTACACAATCTATGATTAAGATGATAGAGAAGAATAATGAGACTACCTCAGTACCTGCAAGCATTTGGTTCATATCAAAACATTTGTAATTTTGCAGTTTATTGTTACAGCTATATGGTGATTTATTATAAAATGTTTTGTTAATGCATTGTTTTATTTTAATCTAATGTTGGGTTAATCTTTAACTTAAAATGAATATTTTAAATATAACATCAACAATCATACAAATGCGATGGCTGAATTGTGCTCTGGTAAATTCAATGTGGCTTACTGCCGTGATCCGGAGTGAAAACTACCACCACCACTTCCCACTAATAGAATTTGTAGCAATTCTCCTTGTCTCCAAAAAAATCTACCTTTTCTAAATGTAAGACCATATATATGGCAGAATTCTAACAACGATCAGTACTTGGTCACTCTAATAAGAATTATATTCTTAATATGTTTAAAAACTGTTGTATTTTCCTTTTGTTTAACAATTAATTTGTGTCCTTGAAATAATAGACAGCCATTTCTTGGCAAAAAATTTTTTTTTGAATATGTTCCTGTTTTTCATAGATATGTTGGTCCACAGGAATCCGAAATTTTATTCTTGTATACATAAAATTCACCCCTTTATCACCATTTTATTTATTTATTATAGGAATCCTTTTTAGCTCGACTATTCGAAGAATATGAGAGCTATTGTAGTCGCGCCGGCGTCGGCATCCGCGTCGGCGTTGGTTAAAGTTTTTTGTAAAGTCAAATATCTCAATTATTACTTGAGATATTCAATTGAAACTTACAATACTTATTTATAGTAACAAGGTACATCAGATTGACAAGTTGGATAACTCTGCCTACAATATTGACAGAATTATG